AGTAATCAACATCCAAAGTTAATCTAAAATGTTTTTAAAAAATATCCTTAGAATAAGTGTTGTTCAATAGTTTTGGGACAATCTTGATGAAAGGGGATGATCCTTTTCAAATGTTGACTACTGTATGTCCACTTAGCATGTTTCCTCAATCAGTGTTTCCCAACCCTGTTCCTGCAGGCACACCAACAGCACTTATTTTGGAAGTCTCCTTTTCTGACCCATTAACTTCAGGTTTTGGCATCTCTTCTAATGTTCTGATGAGTTGGTGCGGGTGTGTTTGATTAGGGAGAGGTTGAACGTGTTCTGTTGGTGTGGCTTCAGGAACAGGGTTGGGAAACACTGTCCTAAATATGTAAACTGGCAGTGGGCTGGTTATAGAGACCAACACAAAGACAGACATTCTGATATGTAACGCACATTTTCAAAGCAGAATAGCTGACTTTAGCATTGTTTTTCAGATCAACGAATACAGTAGTCAACATCCAAAGTTAATCAAAAATGTTTTTAAAAATTGTCCTGAGACAAGAATGAGTGCTGTTCAATAGTTTTAGGACAACCTTAATGAGAGGTGATGATTCACTTCAAATGTTGACTTCTGTATATTCGACAAAGTAGTTTAGTTAGTAGTTTACACTGAAACAATAACAATATTGTTTTTAAAACGTCCTTGCTAGAAAAAATTACGCATTTATAGGTCCCCAAAACTCAGATTGCATGTAAATAAACAGTCAAAACTCAAAAAAGTTCCATTCTTAAGATGTTTAGTGTCTACTAAGGCACCCCCTTTGGCAATACTGGGAGTGTAATATATATATATATCAAAATGGAACCGTCCGGAATCTCAAACATGCATTTCCGCTAACACTTTTAACTTGACTATATCTGTTGAGACAATTTTAAGTTGTCTTTTCTTTACTCTTTACACAAACAGCTTACAAGTAAAATAGATCACATATTTACTACACGGTTTCAGTTTGCACCTAAAAAAGACATTTAAAATAAAACGTACAACATCCTACTGCAGAACGCAGAGTGAGATTGTACATTTCCTCAAAATACATCGATCATTTTGCTGGTCCAAAAGAAACTGCATTTCTAAACAACAAATGTCATTTGGAATAGATGAATAAGAAGTAAACAAACACTATTAACGTGCCTTAAATACCCAGCACTTTTATATTTCTCAACAACAGGGGGCAATGTAGGTCAATAGCAGAGTGTGTGCCCCCCCTCTTCTCGCCCTGCTCCCAAAAAACACCCAGACAAACATTCCCCTCATTAATGTTGGCTTCAGAACATTCTGAAGTGCTTTCAAGCAATTTGTGCGTCATATTAATCTAATGCACCGTCTCTGGTGATTGGCGTCAAGTAAAAGAGATCTTTCTGGCGTTCCATCAACAGCCGTGCTTTTATTCATCTTCCAAAAAAATAAAAAAAAGAGAGAGAGAGAGTCGAAAATGAAGATGGCTTCGCTCAGAAAAGGAAAAAAAAAGATCAAACACACGACAGCGGGAGAAAAAGACAGATAAAAGATGTTCAGCTTGTATTGACAAGAGCGTCTGAAAGAAAATTAATGTTTCTCGCTTTCATCGCGTGTTTATGTCACACCCCCCCACAACCCAACACCCCATTCCACTCCAGAGACGAGGACGGGGCCACATCTGATACTTCCAACATCCTCATGTAATGCTGAATGATAAGCTGTTTGTTGGATTTCAGAGTTAGATATACCCTGCTTCAAAAAAAAATTATAATAATATTAAATAATAATAAAAATGCATCTGTCTTTTGGCACAATGTTGTCAGCACTATTACCCCTCCAATTTGTGCTCAGATGCCCCCCTCCTCTGCTCTGACTAAAATCCAATTTACTGGCTGTCAGCTCAACCCAGTAATCCTCTGCACAGCTGTGTTTGTGGAAGGAGCCTCTTAATTTGCTCGTCCTCCACGTTTCTAAATGTACCATTGCCATATCTGAAGCTAAACGTTAGCTTAGGCGATTTGTCACCTGTTTATGAAGGCGTGATGAAGGAGACTCTTTTTAGGTTCTGCTAGGTGAGAAAATAAGTCCAACGCGGAGCTAGCAAATTGCTAACTTCAACTAGCGAGTTGCTATTTACAGAGCAGTGCGTAGCATCCTTGCTAGATCATTATAGACACTAGCATGGCTGCAACTAGCAAGTTGCTAACTACAGAGAAGTGCGTAGCAGCCATGATAGCATCTATAAAGATCTATCATGGCTGCTGTGTTACTTCAATGTTACAAATGTTATTAGAATTTGTAGGCTATATGTACAGTTACTCACTAGCCGAATAATCAAAAGTGCCCCCAAAGAACCTGATAAGCTACAATACAGCACATTTGCATGTTTTTATCTAATTTATATAAAAAATTTAAGCACAAACTAATGACAGCTGATTTTGGTGATCAACCTTTTAAAGTACAGACTTAATGGAGTTCAGAAATATCATTGGATACATTCACAACAGATTATAATGCTATCTATCTATCTATCTATCTATCTATCTATCTGTCTATCTATCTATCTATCTATCTATCTATCTATCTATCTATCTATCTATCTATCTATCTATCTATCTATCTATCTATCTATCTATCTATCTATCTATCTATCTATCTATCTATCTATCTATCTATCTATCCATCCATCCATCCATCCATCCATCCATCCATCCATCCATCTATCTATCTATCTATCTGAATTCACTTCCAATGCTATACCTCTGCAACAGGTGAGAATTGTAAACGCTAAGCTGACGTTATGACGTAGCATGTAAAGAAGTAAAACGCAATTTACTTATCAATTAAATTATGTTTCGATACAAAATTTAGCTTTTTACAATGGAGGGATGACTGCGCCGGCTGATTGTATCCCTGGTCATAGTATACTATAAAGTTTGTATACATCACTTTAGACAAACTATACATTTTAAGAGTTCACACTTATAGCTGATAATCAATAGAGCGCAGTTGGCATGCTGTCCCGGGAGAGAGCCCTGAACTCATATAATCCTCGAGCCCAGGGCTCCCATCCCGTTAGGTAGGTCTCCAGAACTCCCCTGCTTGTCGCCATGTGAGAAGGGCAAACTAAGGTAGTCTTGGGTGATAATTTGGTTTAGGTGATTGGCTATGGTGTAATGTTTTAGACGGTGGGAGGAAACAACTGGAGTGTAAATTTTTGGTTGTTAATAATGCTTCCGGATTTATCTAATAGAGCAGTTTTCAGTGCTAATGAGGTGCCAGCCATGTTGATCATAAGCATGTGATCCTCTTGAAATGAGTTTTTAAACAAACCATAGATTCGAGAATGAAGCGCAGCTGCGGCAGTTTTAATGCATTGTAAACAGCGAAGGTACATTGCAAGTCACTTCAGGAGGAGACGTGAATTAATTTAGCTAAACCGCAACATGGTCATCTTCCGGAAATATTATCAACGGTCCATCAGGTAATGTTTTTCCCTCTCTCTCTCTGTTTAAAACAGCTGGAAATGCGCTGTCAACAAATACTTTTCCTCCACATTTAATAATGCACAGCACATCGACTACGGCAGCTGGATTATTGCAAAAAGGTGGAGTTCTTTTTGTGGTTGGTTCTGTTCTAGTTACGGATTATATTCTCACCACAAATTAACCGCCCCAGGGTTCGTTTGAAAGTGTACCACTTGAAGGTGGTCTCTGCACACATTTTTGGTTCACTTTTGGTGAGCACTCAAGTGCGATTGCTGCATTCACAACTGCCTAAACAAACAGCACCAAGAGGGAAAACAAACTCTAGTGAGATTCAATTGAACTAAATAGGGCAGGTGTGAAAACATCTTTAGAAGTGCATATTTAGACCTAAAAATTAATATTTTCCCTGACTTTCCAAAGCAGACTGACATCCATGCACTCTCTCATTTACACTATGGCCAATTTAGTTTATTCGATTCGCCTTTTCCGCTTGTCATTGGCATGTGGGGGTAACCGGAGCACCCGGAAGAAACCCACGCCAACACAAAACTCATATTCACTAGCTGAAATAAAATAAAACAGCTTATCAGCATACTGATCCTCAACTCAAGTAATGTGCATATAATATTTGTCAAGAAGTACTTTTAATGTGAGACGACGACGAAAATTATGATAAAATATTTACTTATATTTCAGTGCATCTGGTTTAGCAATGTCCTTGTTTAGTTCGGTGAAAAACAGAAAAAGTCCCAAAAAAAATGACCCACATATAAACACTAGCAAACTTCGCCACAAGCTGCATGCACTATCATCCAGCACTGTTTCAGCGTGTGTGGGTTGTGGCTCGGGTCTGGAACAGTGAATTATAGAGACAGTGTCATTGCCACCGAGCGGAACACTGCACCATCTCTGACACAGGAGATAAAAGTCACTGCCAACCTGTGGGAGCCACAGCAACCACCCTGCCTGCCTTCCTGCACGCCGCTCTCGGACCATTTGCATTTGCCACGGACGCTCTGCATCTCATAAATGGTAATGAGGGCGTATTTTTTCCCCTCGTACCAGGCCGCCAGTTACTGTGGGATTGTCCGTACGCACGTCTTCCGCTGCCCCCCGCATGTCTGTGATATGAAAATGAGTGTGAATGATAAGCCCCTAGGGGTCGGGTCGACTCCTACAATTAATCTTGGCATTTAGGAGGGAAATTCACCTATGCCTAGCAGTACATGAATATATGTATATCTTTCCACTCCATATGGAGGAACTAACTACAGGGATACGTTCTCCCCAACAGTATATTCCCTAAAACTGATGAATATTAGGTTCCGACGGCTATTCAGCCTCCACCGTACCAAAGGAACCGATTCGTGCTATAAATAACCAGGTGATGATTTTCCTATTGGAATATTCTGAGTCATCCTGGGGACGTGAGCGAATAGCATGTGGGTGCACGTGGGTGGCAATGAGATCATCAAAAAGTGTCGGGCCGGAGGTGCCCAAGTTGCCCCGAAGGGGGGAAGGCTACTCACCGCATGTGCGTAGGTGCTGTAGGTGCTGAAGGGCAGGGCGATGGCAGGGTTGAAGATGCCAAACTGGCCCACCATCTGCTGCATGCGGCGGATGGTGCGCTCCTTGTCCGTGTCGGCAAACTTGACCACCAGGCTGGACGATGCGCCCTGAGGGAGGAGAGAATCGGAGCCAGTCTGAGGAGAGAGGGCAGGCTACGTTTAACCTCCCGCTTTGTAAGCGAGACCTCTGACCATCACAGAAAATACAACTCAAAATGTACAGATGTTATTCTGAATGATGGTGCAGTCACATTAGAGAGCTTCCAGTGAAATTTAGCTGCAAAAAAGGTCAACACGTGTTCTCAAGCAAAGCAACTTTGTGTTGGTCACTGCTGTTATAGCAATAGCCGACTTAAACATTGGCAAATTTTGCAGGGGCAACTTTGCATTGGTATTACAATTGAAATCATTTCTCTCATACTAAATTTCACCAACAAATGTGACCACACCTTTATTGTAATGCCAGATTCAGACTACATCATATTTTTGTTTGTTACGAAAGTCACTGTGTCACATTAAACAGTTTAGATTGGTCAATTCTTAAGATTGTCAACGAATGTAATGAATAAGAAGTCGGAACTGGGGGCTGTTCCATAAACCAAGCTTAGAGTAAAAGGCTTATTTTGGTAAGTCAGGTTTATTAATGGTGGATTCTGTTTCATTAATTAAAATTACAATAGTTTAAACTCAGCTACCATAGCAACTTATGCTGGGAAGCTAGCCTGGTTCGGGGCAGGTTAACTCTTAGGCTAAGTCAAGCTTAATCAAAGTAATGTTAACATTTGTCTGCTGTAATTTGATGCCATTTTAATTCACTTATCCTCTTAATAATGATTAAAACTTTAGTCACTTAATAGGAAACATATATACACCAAACATCTCTTAGAAGAGAACAATATATACATTTAAATTAAGTTATTAATAAGTTACTGCAAACAGAACAAATACAAACTACAACATTTTTATAATTTTTTTAATGTTTATGTATATTTTTTTATGTTTATTAAAATTTTACTTAACATTTTCCCTCAACATAATAATTTGGGTGTACTAATTTTTGGACTGTGATCTTCAGTTTGTTAGTTGTTAGATTAGTCCAAAATTTTGCTTTGGAACTGAATAATCTAATGTATATGCACAAGCATTTTATTATATAGCATTCTGTAGAACATATTAATTTAAAATATTGATCTGTGAGGGGTGTACTTAGCTATTTATGTAGTATGAATTACAAAATACTAAAGAAAATATATTAAGAGAAAGCACTGACTGATATAAAGAAATACACTACATTTCTTAAAGAATGACTTTAAAGCTGAATAATCAGGTGATAAATCTGGGCAGAGCAGTAGCCTTACTTATTTCTAAAGATATTTACCCACAGGTCACGTGAAACACACGTGTCAAAGGGAAAGCAGCATTCTGTAGAGGTTTCGATAGCAAATTAAAAATCCCGTCGCCATTATTTACATTTTTTTGTGCTGAAGTTAAGCACATTTTGTGTGTTACTGTTAGTCTGCAATGCATTAAAACTTTTTCTATAGCAAGCAACAGGCAGAAAGCGCCTATTCTTTGTAGCTCTCTCTCTCACTCGCACGCAGTCAAGCGCAATTTCAATGTATTGCGACGCGGCTCACTCGCTATGAACAGCTGAGTCTTATTTCAGAGCTCTTTTAGTTCTCATTGTTGCCTTGGTAGCACACAACGTAATCAATGCATCTATGCTCGACCTCTAAGGTTTTATGACAATAACGTGCACGAGATGTTATTATCTAGATTATTTTAACTGAACTGATTAGCTAGATCAAATGATCTTCAACTTGCTGTTATGGAACCAGTTTAAGCGTGAACGTTTAGTTCGGCTCATTGAAGTCGTGTTTTTGACTTTAATCCTCTCATTTCTTAACCAGTTTTATGAAACAGCCCCCAGGTGACTAACATCTCAAAACCTAAATGTAAACACGCAATGGCTACCAGGGTACCATGCTTTCATCATTCTGTCAAGGTAGCCACTATCAAAGAAATTGTTTAAAGGCAAGAATATAGCTTCATGAACTTTCCTTAAATTCATCTCTCTTCATTTTCGCATATTGCTCAATGTCCCAGATGTGATGGAACCCATCACAGAGGATCAAAAAATGTAAACATAGTAGTCGTTTCTGTTGGGAGGTTGTAAAGCATCACAGATGTGACATCAGAAGTACATTGTGACGTTCTTTATGAAATAAAACTTGATTTTAAGCTTTGGTACAAATTTTTGTTTACATCTCAGAATGACTTTTTTGTCAAATAAATTGTGCCAAAGTCTGGCTGACATCTTGTAGTCTGAATCCAGCATAACGCATCATAAAACCGAAGGGTAATATTTCAAGACATAAATTGATGGGACCTAAAAAAAAGAGATTTCACCAAAAACTGAGCTTTTACAATATTCTACTGCACAAAATTAAAAAAAAAAAAAAAGGTTAACTATAACACTATAGTTGACAGTAATCTGTTAAAATGCATGTTGGAATGTTATCTTCTGCTTTTAAAGCACAAGCTCTGTTCTGATTGCATGATGCTTTAATCAGTCACCACGATGAAAAAAAAAAAAGATTTTTGCTTGTTGTTCAAACTGCTTATTTAAATTGAGCTAAACCAACACAATTCTTGCGGTTTTTTTTGGCACAACTTAATTGTTTTATGTTACAATTAAGTTAACTTAATCCATTTGTGTTGAAACAGCTTGAAGGAAATGTGTGGAACGCAGCATTTTTTACAGTGTACCTTTGTTTTATTTACCCAGTATAGTGTAACAATTCTACTTAGCACATTTACAGTATAAGATAAGAAATACTTGATTAATTCATTTTTGAATGATTCTTCCTCTGGTGGTTGGATCATTTCATGTACAGTATTTTGTTCACAAACCAGCCTGGGGTGCGTTTCTGAAAACCATAGTTAGCCAACTAAGGTTGCAAGTTCTGTCGTTACAAACAAATCATTCATTTGCCGTTTCAATCGTACCAACAGACATTCGCAAACTGCGCTGCAAACTTCTACTTCCTCTAGAGCAGTAGTTTGAAGCATAGTTCCTGCTTGTGTTCTATTCCCAGTTATCCCCCTATGTTTATATCTTTCAAATGTTCCAACATTTAAACTTGGAATAATTTAAAAACAAAAACAATAAAGTAAACTCACTCAAATGTCATTTTACTTTCAAAATATTTTTTTACAGTTCAGTTACACTTTTTTAGTGATCTTTAAATTGACAATTTTCCTCCATTCATGGTGCACTTTGAAAATATTTATGCCATTTTGAATGCAGCCATGGCTCATGACGAAAGCTATAGGTGACCTATGATTTAAAAAGCGGAATCAACATTACGTCTCCAAAGCTATATATACACATAAATATATATATATATATATATATATATATTGTACGTCAATAGTTTTAATTTATAGAAGGCTATTTATTAAGAAATGTTTGTGTACTGTATATGACATGCACCCCAGAAAATGCATCCCAGAATGATTCAATCATTAATTCGACTCATTCAATTTTCAAATTCAATTCACTGATTCAATGCTCTGGTCAAAGCTTATTGTAGGGGGATTCAGTTATTTTCAGCCATTCAATGACATTTTGACTTTTTCAGTTGCTTATGTTGATCCATTTACCATGTGCAAAATAGCAGTTCAAAAAGAATGATATGAGTGAATTAGACTGTGATTTTGGAGTGAACTGTCACTTTAAGTCAAGTTAAGTCAAGCCAAGCCAAGCTTTATTGTCATTCCACTACAAGTGTGGAAATACAGAGGAATGAAATGTCGTGTCTTGCAGAACAACGGTGCTACATAGATTAATCATAAATACAAACACAACACTGGACAGAAGAGCTATTTAAAAAACAAAACATAACTAACATATTATATAAGGTAGAAGCAAGCAGTGCAACAGGATTGTGGTACAATATAGTGAACTAAGAATGATCAAAAACTATGACTTCACATTAAACCGACATTGACTTTTTCACTTCAACCTCTCACAATACAAACGCTGTCCTGATGTATCATAAATACAACAAATAATCTCAAAAATGGCCTCCCCCCAAAGATCCTGTTCGACAACGTCTCAACATTAAACCTCAGTCAATCAAACCAACACATCTACAAAACTCAGTTGATCGTTACATAACAAAATCTATTTCAGATTTCGGTTATGATATTGCTCCTGAAATATCAAACAGATTATCCATAGAACGTGGGTGTGTTTGGAGATTGACAAGGCCACCAGTGATCATGTTCTGACCTTGGACGTGTGGGTTTCTAAGTCTGGCTCGCTCGTTCTCTCTCGTACCGTGGTAATGAAACACCTGCCGTGAAAAGCCGCGCTCACATTCATTATGAATCTCTCAATGATTCGATGCTACACTTGACCTTTATCAGGCTACAACATCCTCTGTTCCAGCACTATACCGTCCGAACAGAGAGAGAGAAAGAGAGAAAAAAAAACACAGAATCGATTTTGGCAAAAAGGCTGAAATATGACTGTGATCTGACGGTAGAGAAAGGTTGTGCATCAGCTGAGATAAGAGGCTAGCTGAAATTGATGTGAAAATGTCGATAAGCAGCCACAATATGGGAAAATATCAGGTGAGGACACATGCCATCCGTACGGTGAAATAGGATCGTGCTTTAGGCCTTCAAATGGTGGATTGTGACCCAAAAAATGGTCTGCATTTCTAAACAAACAACAAAAAAGGTTGCACACTATACTATAGCTAGACTTTCTTTGCTTTCAGAGTAAAGTTATTTCTATATTTCAGTAATCATAATTAAGAAACTAATCAAGAAAGTGTTCTTGCAGGACTCCCAGAGTTCATCAAGATTCCTTGGATTCCTCTTCAATGCCTCCTCCTTCATCATATCCCAGACATGCTCAATAATGTTCATGGCTGGCCAATTCTAGGGCACTTTGACCTTCTCTGCTTACAGGAACTTTGATGTGGAAACTCAAGTATGAGGCCTGTTTAACACTGCAAGTTGCAAGCATACAGTACTGTATGCTTCTCAAGCTCTATGAGGACTGTCATTCATGTCTGGTGCACTCAAAAGACAATCGCCTGTGATATGTCATTTGGTTGTTG